AATTTTTGTACAACTACAAAGAATGTGTTTGTGATACTTGCATTTGATCTCCTTCTAGTGACTTCTGGATCTCCTGAAGTACTTCTGAAAAGAAAAAAACAAAACAAAAAAACAACTGTAACTAACTATTGCTTTTAACAACACCACACTTTGTCATGACTTGGAGCGTTAGCTCAGTCACAACAAGCCAGCTCACTGGGGGAAAAATGAAGTTGATTCAGTCATGTGCTTATATATGTTCTGAGACATGTAATTTGAATGTTTCAAATGACAATGTGAGTAAGAGGCTGCAGGACCAGCTCAAAAACGTAGCGTATAATTCAATTACAACTGAAGCCAGATTTCCTTTGAACAACTACAATGTCTGAGGAACATACTATTTGACCTTCCAGGTCTATATTTCAGGATATTCTCCTGCCTTTGTAACTTGAGTACTCACTCTCATCATTCAGCAAAGCATGCTCCATAACATGTTTAGCTGCATTTTCTGCAATAGATGGCATGTCAACACAGTCAGCCATAGACAAGGTACGTGTAAAAACAGACAGCACATTTAGCATAGCACAGAATTATAAAACACCACAGAACACACACTCATGTGGCACATTTAGTTACAATGATACTATTTGTTTTGAATAGTTTTACCTCCATCCTCACCATCATGTTTGGCTCTAAAAGGACAGAGAAGACAAAAAGTAATGAAAGCTCATTCTTAGGGATGTCAAAACATATCGATTATTGTAATATGTAAAACATGTAATATTAATATCCTTTTAAAATATTCGTTAAAAGGGGACAATGAACTGGAAGTAAAATGAGTACATTTTGCTGATATAGCCATACTGGCTGATTTCGATCTACAGTCACTGGAAGGTTGATGTCACTTATAAACATTAAGAGAAAATAAAAGACACAAAAACAGCATAACTGACTATATTGGAACTAGTGATTTATACATTGGGAGGAGGAGGCAAGAGATGTTATAATAACAATAACAATAATAATAATAATAATAATAATAATAATAATGGATTGCATTTATATAGCGCTTTTCAAGGCACCCAAAGCGCTTTACAGTTCCACTATCCATTCACTCTCACATTCACATACTGGTGGAGGCAACCACTCAACTATGCGCTTTAGCTGAGGGGTTTTACTTTTGCAGGTGTTGAGGCACGCCTGAGTCAGGACTGTCGGCATCTCTCAGCCTCGAGCATTATTTTGGACGTTCTATGTCCCAACAGTGAGTTTCACCAACCAGGGATCAGGACGTCAGACACTTTGACGGCCATCAAATCCACCAGACCAGACCGCTGTGTCTTTTCCTCTTTTTTTATAAATGCAATTTGCACTTCTGTGTTACACAATATCAGTTTTGCTTCTACTGTTTTTAACTAACTTCATTTTTACTTTTCTTTCTATCTGCACACTCTGCACACATCGGTGAGATTTCTATCTAATGTTTATTATTTCTTCACCAGCGTCAGTCTTTACAATCTTTCACTGTCTTTTATATACTTTTTGGCATTATTACAATGTATTTACTCCCATTTAACATGGAAGTTGTAACTTCCAGCATCATCTAACAACCTGGCTTAAATTGCCCTACAGCAAACTTTTGTATTCAGCAAACACCAACATGATGAAAACAAGGAAACCTATGAGTACCTATGAGTAGATGAAGCTCCATCTGGCTGTGACTGGTGTTGGTTGGAGCAGCCAGAATGAAGTGGAGCCTCCACCAGACAACGAGGCTCCACAACACAGCAGGTCGACAAAGAGAATCTTTCAAACTCAGACGGTGAGATCAGGTAGAAGCCTGAGGGAGAACAACAGCACAGGAGCTTAGTGAAAGTGGCAAGCGGGGTGGGGGTGGGGGGGACCTATGCACTGGCAAAATGACTGTCCATTGAACAACAACAGCAACAAAAAAAAAACATGACAAAAATCACATTTTAGGAAGAAAATCTCACTTCTAAAAACTCATGGCAGCAGTTACTGAACAGCATGGATGTGAGCGGCATGAGGGT